TGGGGTTTTCTTGGCAAGATTCCTTCAGAAGGGCTTGGCCCTTGCCACCCTCTGAGGCTGAGAGAGTGTGACTTGTCCCCAAATCCACCCAATGGGTTGCCAGGGCCGAGCAGGGATTGGAACCTTGCTCCCAAAAGTCGTAGTCCAGCACTCAAACCGCCTTGGGTCCCGGCTTGGCAGAAAGGCGGCATATAAATATAGTCAATCAATCAATCACTCTCAATCAAATAAAGTCAATCGATCGATACAGTAAATATATAGCACGCTGGTTCTGCGTGGTTTAACGGACAGGGCAAGGGGACAAGATGCGCAGGATCCCGATGGCGATCCGTTCATTTTGGGATCCCCGAAGCAGCCGCGCAGCCAAACCGCAATCCTAAAGCGGAGTCGCCCCGGTTTAAACTCCCGCCTTGCCCTCCGGTGCCTCTCTCGGGAGGAAGGCTTTGGGGGATCCCCAAATATCCATCCCTCTTTGAAGAGATCCATAGGATTGGGCTGCGCAGGGTTTAGCCAGGGAATCCCTAAGATCTGATGATGCCTTTTCCTTCCGATCAGGATGGGACTGCGGTCCTGTTTAGAAACACTTTGGGGTCCCTTACTGAACGCAGCTGGGTTTACTTTTGAGTAAAGGTTCGGCCATGGAAACCCCCCTGGATGAGCTTTGGGCAAGTCACACTCTCTCAGCCTCAGAGGACGGGCAGGGCAAACCCGCTCTGAAGAAACCTTGTCAAGAAAAACCCATGATAGGTTTGACTTAGGGTCATATAAGCTCACTGGGCGACCTTTGGGCAAGTCACACTCTCTCAGCCTCAGAGAATGGGCAGGGCAAAATGTTATTTTTCCTTTACTGCAAAAAAGAAAAAAACAGTTGAAGGTTTCCATTGTTTTCATTGTAGAGCGCTCTGAAGAAACCTTGCCCCCAAAAAACCCATGATAGGGTTGACTTAGGGTCATATAAGCCCACCTTTGGGCAAGTCACATTCTCTCAGCCTTAAGAAGATGGCAATGGCAACCCCTCTCTGAAGACATCCTTGAAATATAAATAATAACTTGCCAAGAAAATCTCATGAGACTGAGAGAGAGTGACTTGAGATTTGTTCACCTGAGGGTTGGGCTCTAAAACGGAAACCTTCCTTTTTGCAATAAAGGAAAAATAACATTTTAAAAAGAGCCCAGTTCCAAAAATCCGTTTAACTGTTAATACCTTTCCTTAGGCAAACCCAAAGGTCGGAAACCTATGTGCAAGTTTTCGCGATTTCCAGATCTCTTCATTAGAGCAGATGCAGAAAAGAGGAAGGAATAAACAGGGCTGCATCCGCACTGCAGAAAGAATGCGGTTCGGTAGCCAAAGCCTTCCTCCCAGTTTAGCTGGAATTGATGGCTCTGATTTGGGACTGGGAGGCCAACCCAAAAATGCACAAAAGACACGTTGCACAAAAGACAGGTTGCAAGCTGTCAATTTATTTTGTGCATTTTGGGGTTGGGCCCCAATTTATTTAGTTTTTGGTGGTCCCAGAATGTTTGCCCGTTGTGGTTGGCCCAAAAATGTTGACCCAGAATTGTGCATTGTGTTTGGCCCAATGTGTGTGTGTGTGTGTGTGTGTTGGCCTAAAAAATCTGACCCAAAAAAGGGGAGGATTTTGGAGGTTATTGTAATTTATACACACACACATATATAAAGATTACTCCCAGGAAAGTGGGCCTGGGAATATGGTTGCCCCAGTGTGTAAAATAGATGCCACCCTTTGATAGCTTGGAGGAGCTGCACCCTTCTTGAGTGCTGACCCTTCTGAGTTGGAGGGGAACCCCAAAGGGCATCTAGTCTAACCCCCTGCCCTTGCCAAAATACAGGTCTAATGCACTCCAAAGGCCTGGTTGAAGCCAGTCTTGCCAAAGGTACTTAAAAATCAGATTTATTTATCCATGGCATGGTTTATATATCCTTCTCTAATAGCTTTCAACCCACCAAGAAGGGCCCAGGGGTCCCAACTAGGAGAGGAGATGATCCCTTACTTTGGAGAAAACATGTAGAGAGAGATCTTGTAGC